CACACACAATTAAAAACAAAATAACTGAGAACGCTTAAGAAAAGATGCAGTTTGAATTTGAATTGTTTCTAGATTCATTATTGTGTCTCAACCATTCCTTGGAAAGAGAAAGCTTTGTGATCTTTAACATTAATGCATTTCCTGTATGTAGGAGTTGCTAATTTCCTTATACTGCAGTGGCACACATCACGTTAATACAATTCACTTGTTAACAGGAGGAACAGGACCTATGTCAGTAGACAAAGGACATCAATGAAAAACAATTGACCACTAGTCCTTGCCCTGTACAAAGAGCCACGGTGACAGGTGAGTCACAAAGCTACACATGGTGGCATAGCACAAAGCCAGTTTAGATGCTGTTAAAGCCTTCTGTGGCAATGTACAGATGTTGAGGTATCACCAAAGAATGTCAGATATATTTTAAAGACTTTGCTACTTAAAATAGGGCTAAAACATCATCAGTGGGGATTGAGCAGTTGCTGCTGGAATGACAGGAAAAACACTGAGACAAGTCACTAAGTGCCATCATTTAAGAACCTTTGGAAATGAATCAGGGCCACAATGAGGAACAGAACTCCTATGGTGGAGCTATAGCAGCAGTGTGCTCTGGCAACAGTGTTACAAAAGCAGTTGCTAAATTCACGGTTTTTCCAAACAATTGGCTAGCAGATGCCTCTCCTGAAATGTCCACTTCATAACTAATCCTGGCCTCAAAGCGACGCCAATTACTTTCTGTGTGTCCAATTATGGGACACAGATGTTGGTGTCCAAATACTTTGTTTGGCACTTTTTGGCCAACTCCTCTGTTCTCCAACATACCTAACATGCTACAGATGCTCAACATGTAAATCCAGTTGTATAACCACCTCTCTTCTGCCATTCTCCTCTTCATGCAATGATAGGTCTCCAGCGGTCAGCTTCAATACTGTTAATCCTGCTGGACCCATAGGGTCCAGAGGCAACATCATCTAAGTACGCTGCAACCATACGAGAGCTGCCGGGACCCGAGCCATCAATCTGGGTGGAGGAGTAAAACAGGCCCTGGTCAGTTAGCTCTTTACGGCCAAGGGTTGTAGCAACAGTTGGGGGGAGGTGGACATCACTTTCATCTGGTTCATCCACCTGCGACTTGTATGAGAACAGGATCTTGGGCTCTGATCTGTGGGGGAGGAAAAATAGTGATAAAAAAAAAGAGAGGACACAGGGTCCACTGCAGCTAAGCATGACTATACAGTATTATGTGTATTGTGTATGACTCTTTGTACATACCCAAAGAAGCCTTTGAGGAATGTGGCATATATGAGTGGAGCAAATGTGGAGAAGTACAAGAAGGTGGTGACATCCACGCAGCTGGTTCAGAAAAGACCAAATAAAGACAGATTTCAAAATGAGCAACGCATCCCATTAACAGTTACAAAGTACAGAAAGATCATCGGGTTCAACAGAAAACAAAAAAATCCAATTAATAGGCTATGGCTAAAGGGCATGAATCGTGCTCAAGACCACCCCTACCATGCCTGAGTCCAGTACACTTGTGTTCACACTTATCTAAATGAACTAGACTTTGGGTTCAAGTGTACTCGGGTACATAATGTGAAACCACACTTAAAGTCCATTGCTGCTCAAAATCCAAAAACCCTCCTCAACTTGTGTCTCTTCTTGCAAAGCTGATACCAGTACATCAATTTATTCTACAGTTTCTTCATGCAAATACAGAAATCCTTTAATATCTATGTAGTAAATATACTCTACGTAAATATGGTGGTACAGACAGCATAGCTTTCCCAGAAACAGTACTGACCAGAGTCCCTCTATGATTCCAGCACACAGCAGAGCACTGCCCAAGCCCTGGACAAAGTTCAATAAAGACAGGATGGCAGCATACACATAGAAACTCCTCTTAGCTAAAAAGAGAAACAAAACAATGAATAACAGACAATGGAGTTCAAATGCTTTCAATTAAATGGCATCATGCAATGATAAAATCTAGGTTTTTCTAGGTCCTAGAATTTGCCATTGCATGATCTAGAAACTCTTGGCACTGCAACTTGGATGAGGAATGACAGGCCATACATGGAGGCAGCTAGAGCAGCTAGCCCAGGACAGAGATGGCTGGAAAGCTTTTGTAGGTGGTCTATGGCCCAGTAGGGGCCAACGGCCGTAAAGAATGCAATAGTAAACAGCACAATAGCAATTGTAGTACATCCTTGTGTAGTGTAGTTTTCACTCATTGTAATTACAATAAATGCTTTTATTTAACTTCTCAAATCAAATTTTTGCTGAAATGAAATCTGTAACTTACATGGCAGAGATATCCTCTCCCTCAGTGGAGTTTTGGGCAAGATCACAATCAAAGAGTACACCTATAAGAAAGGATTACACTCCCACTCATCAGTTATTGGCCAAGTGTGGCTATTATCTTTGTGCACATGGTGATAACTGCTGCAGAGCTACAGGTCACTGACCAGGAAGAAGAAGCTGGAGCTGGCCAACCAGAAGTGCCGTCCTCCATGGCCGTAGATGTTAAAGTCCTCAGCAGACAGGCTACTATCCGGATAAAGAATCTCTAATACACCCTGAAACAATGATTCATTTATTTTAATCACAAGCAGAATGACAACTGAAATTTCCTGTCATGCAATATTATTATCACATCATGAAGGTTTTAAAATTATTTAACCTATTATCAACTGTCCTTACCTGTGTGATGGAGTAGGCCAGAGCCAGCACAGCAGTAATAGCCAACACACGTTTTATACTAGATTTGCTCTCCAGGTGACCTGAAAAATGAATACACCTAGAGGCTTAACTAAGAGCATAAACTACACAGACTTCAGTTACATTCATAATTAGATTCAAGCTGAAAAGAATAACTATAAACAGAACATTTGAAACAGATGTCTCATGTGAAAAGAACTGAAACATCACACTGGTTAAAGAATAAATGAGAACTGAAACCAATACAAAAAACTAACCAAAAGCCAGCCCCAAGATGATGACGCTCAGCTCAATAGCCAGCAAGAAGAAACGGGTGATTTCCCACAATACCTAAAAAAACAACAAACATCATGAGAAACTTCTGTGGAAAGGTAGGTTGGCTCTGTTGTAACACACATTTACAAAACCTGTGCATAACATAACAGGCCAGGTCACACTTTAAAGACTTATATAATCATTTGTATTTTGTTCAACAGTGCAGCCATGGGAACAGTAGGTCCATCACTGTGAACTCCATAGGGATGTGAAGAATGTCAGCCATGCTTTTCCTTTCAGACAAGGGAGGCCTACAAAGTTGTACTGTAGACTATCTGTATACTTAAAAAGACAGGATATGGTGACTTCTACTTTACTAAGGGTATTTATTTTATGTTCTTTCTCATGAAAAAGCGGTTATCTCCTACTACAATAAACATCCTGTGACACACACAGCTCAGAATGTGTTTAGGGTAACACAAAGTAAAGAGTTTTTTTTTTGAAAGCACACAATACATCCAAAAATACATTTGTGTGGAAAAAACAGCAGTTTATGCTACAATTTCTTGAAATTTGGTACTGGTGAGGTTACCCATTTGTTTATGAATAAGAGACTGTGCCTTTAATTTCCACATTAAGACTTGCAGCCAGTTTAATTTAAGAAATATTATTTAAGTCCATCCTTACTTTGTCTATGATGGTGGCAGCACTAGATGCACTGACAGTCATGGACACTATAGCCCGGGTGATCCCAACTGCTGCTACAACAAACACCTAAAAAATACAGCACAGCATGTTACATCATATTAGACAGTCTTTCTTCTGAACACAATAAACACATGCAAAATTAGGCAAAAATATAACTGAGAGCAACAATTCATACTGTTAATAACAGAGCAGAGACACCCTCTTCTCTAAAAATGTTGTTAGGTTACCACACCTGGCAGTAAACAGGCAGAGCCAGTAAATTATGGAAGCAAGAAGTAAGCCTCTGTCACTGAGAAAGAACAAATAACAAAGCAGAGCAGTAAACAAGAAAGAACCTTATCAGTAAGTTGTTCGACAAGGTCGCCTGTCTTTGTTATTAGGCAAAAGTGAAAGTAAAAGACACAACATTGTTCCTGGATTCCTTTTGGGTATTACCGCCACAGTGAATCCCCACTTCCTACAAGTTTTGTTCTGCCAGTTCAGCGAATTATTAGAATGAACACAAGATTAATCTTAAGATATAGGCTGAAATACTTATATTTATGGAGTTCACTGTGTAACATGAAATCAAGCTCACGTTAATTACATGGAATTTATTTAACATTGTGGTGTTTCTGTAGTTTGTGTCCATACCAGCAAGTAAAAGGTGACGAAGATGGGGCTAGAGTTGAGTCGAATCTTTGCCCTGGCTGATGGCAGCTTCCACATCAGGAATACAAAGAAGGCCACATTAGGCACTAGCAGTAAAATGTCCCAGAACCTCACCCTAAGACACAGAGGTGAATAAGAGTAGGATAATGTGGAACTTTAGAAAAATAAATAATTTTATCTGCAGCTGATCTACAGTTTAGTCTTTGATCAGTTAGTGATTTATTTCCATTTTCTATTTCTGACACAGTCATACATGGATACATAAACAATGTTTTGTTTTTTTTAAACTAACTTTTCCATGGTTTCTTCAACAAACAAACAGTATGCTACCGATTACCTGGAGTCGTTAATGTCCTCATAGAGAACTTGCAGACACTGATGAGGTTTGGTGATGTTGGCTTCAGTATCCGTTTGCCACGATGGGAATGCTGAGGTGTTTTCCAAAGGTGCAGGTGATATACTGCCATTGTACTGGGCAAACCTAACCACAGCTGTCACTGTGGGTAGCATGATGTCAGAGCCTGAAAAAGAAATGTCTGTCATTGTATTGATTCCTGGCATGAACCAAAGCAGACAGTTTACTTCTCATTTTAAAACATTAAGGTTTCCCCGTTTTTTAGGAGCTTCAGATTGTGAACTAGGCTTCGAGGAGGAAAGCTCCTTTAACTGTAAGGTTTCTGAATCATTTTTGGAGAACTTGTTGATAAATGCAAGTTCGAGCCAACTCATACTGTAGACTATGGATTACATTAACACACACGTAGTAGTATTAGTAGTAAAGATAATAATAATTCCGCTCGAGAGATGTAACGTTACGACTTTAGGAGGTGCGCCACTGTTGGGTGATGCACCAGGTAGTCACCCAGCTGTTACAACTTTCTCCACTTCAAGATAAACGTTATGTAACAAGATTAGCTGTTATATCAGCTATGTGTGGTGTTAAATTAAAAAATTCAACAACACAGGATTCCTTCATATGGTTTACTACAATACTTTCTGAGGTTTTCGGAGCTGAGCTGCTACTTACTGCTTGCTAGCTGTTGTCGCAAAATGGGTTGCTTATAAATTAAAATTATATTCTGTGAGTACGACTCCTTTAGAATCGAAAGTGGCAATGATTACAATGCTAACGGTAAATACAGCTTGCTGGTTAACATTGTGTATCACTGTTTAAAAGTCGACTACCTCACGTTAGCATCAAAACAAACGTGACAACGTTACTAGTGCAAGTGCACGCTGACCCCACGTAACGACATCTCCAAGTCCTAAAAATTAATCTCTCACCGATTCAGAAGACTCGGATTCACAGGTGCAACTACTGTGAAATGATTCAGAACTAAACCAACTTCAGCAAATTCTTCAGGCGTTGTCATACACACTGTAACCGTTTAACAAATTGATCACTTCTACGGTACATGGCTGATCTAGATAGTTTCCTTAACAAATTTCCCGTGTGGTCAGCTGACACATTCAACAAACAACCGAAGGAAGTCTCGCGAGATTACTGTATAACTTTTTTTTTTCCTTTCTAAGCCATAAACTAGTAAATGCCAGTTCTTGTCTGACAAAGTTGTCACTTGAAGAATTAAAATAGTTTCCATTCAATTTAGGTTATATTTTTGCTTAATATCTGATGGATTCACTAAAGATAGTATTGATATTTAATCAGTATAATAATATATACTGCTCAAAAAATAAAGGGAACACAACATAAGACATCCTAGATCTGAATGAAGGAAATATTCTTATTAAATACCTTGTTCATTACATAGTTGAATGTCTTATTTTCCCTTGTGTTCCCTTTATTTTTTCGAGCAGTGTATGTTTTTTGCCCTCACCCTTTACGGATTATAGGGCTCTGTAGGGCTAAACTGATATTAACTCAGCATTTCTTTATTACAACATGAAGAAGTAAAGAAGAATATAACAGACCTGATTTTATTTTTCTGGGATAAAACAAAGACCGTTGGCACTAAATTGCAATTAGTACAGTATATTTGAAGCTGGTACATTTTAAAGAAATTTGGTAGCTACAAACCTAAAGCTAATAAAACAAAATAAACTAATGTAATTAGAAGAATCTGTCATCTATCCTGTCATAAAAATCCAAGCCCTCTTTCAAAAGAAGAGAGGTTTCAGTTGTTTCTGCAGATTAAAAACATATTTTAAAAAAATATTAATTTTAGGCTATAAAAAACAATTTAAGGTGATTTTTGTAAAAATCATTGCAAAACACATTATTTGTTTAAATTTACTATAGACCATCTTGTTTATTTTTCAAAGTCAAAATAAACTTAGCTTTGGGAACAATTTCAAGTTAATTAGCAGACAATTCTTCCTAAAAGATGGTCAAATACCTGTAGCATATCTAATGAAGCAATCACAGGAAGGCATCATTTCTATAACATTAACAAATGTGAACTGATAGCTGTTAAGGACTGTTCTGGATCTGCTTTTCACAATATTCCAGTGAAAAAATAAGTTTCATATTTAGTCATACTACTTACAAAGACCATCAGGAAATGAGATGCTTCTTAAACCTTATCACTATTATTGAAAAAACTCAGCAGTTAATAAGGGACTTTTAGGAGTTCTGGTCACAAAAGCTGGGTTATAATTATAAAGTTATCTGCGTTTCAACACCAGGCCTTTTTGTCAGCATCTCATCTACAAACATAATTTCTCTCCTCACACATATTTCATTTGGACTAATGAGGACAAACGATGTAAACCCACATTTAACTTCTTCTAACTGTAGTTAGAGTTGTTCAACAGGGATGGCACATTGTTTACATATTACTTGTTTATTTCACATTACAACATCCCTGTAACAACTGGGCATTATGCAGAGGTCTTTAGCAATGACCAAAGATTATTCATGAGTGACGTCGTTTATTACCTTCTCTTACAGTGGACCCACCTGTTGGGGAAACCTGTTTTTTTTTCCTCGTTGCTGTAAAAATAAATACATAAGAACTCTGTTTGAAAAAGATGTCTGATGTCTGATTCAAAAAGATGGACATGTATTTTCATACAGGAATCATATTTTGAATAAGATAACAAAATCAATGAAGACTGTTTCAGGCTTGTTCATAGACTTTTCATATTAATTTTAACTTAATTTTATTTCAGAAATATGCACTGTTTGGATTCCAACATGACGATATTAATTTGAATTCCCAAATGAATAGTACTGATTTTTACATTTTATTAGCTAAATTACCAATTCATAAATTCACATGAACCTTTTTTGTTAATTTACACAAATGAGGTCAAATGCATGGCAGCACACAGTTGACAGGACACCACACAACCTGGGGAATACAGCACGTGATTACTATCTATACTTTGGGGTATATGTTGGCATGTCTTCAGATATTTGTAGATACAGAATCTTGTCAAGAAGGACCAAAGCTAGCATGATAATCCAACAGTCCAGTTAAAAAAATTTAATGACTACCTTTGTAAGACTGTTAAAAAATACTGTTGGCATATACACAAGGAATTTGTCTCTAGTACAGAGGCTCTCCACTAGAGAGAGCATTCAAAATGAGGCAACAATCTACAACTTGATATCTCTGCACAGTAAATGTACACAAAGCGCCCAAAGCACTAAGCAAAGGCAACCAAAAGGTGATCACAAATGAGGAAATCTGAGTATTATTATTACATTACTCTATGCAGCACATTTTTTAGCAAGTAAATAGAATTTTATAGAAATGCAGGTATAATTATGAATAAATGGTTGCACGTGCTTTGGGGTGCCCTGACATCATTCTGTAGGCCAGGTGCACCGGCTCAGTCAGGTCAGCCTTAAACGTGTACACATGAGTCTTTCCGCTGATGGGGCTGATGTTGTAGAAGCTCAGTCTGTGGGTCTTGAAGCTCAGCTTGATCTCTAGCCTGAGTGACACTGTGGTCCTCTTCAGTGGCACTTCATGACTCTGTTCAAAGGCTGTCAGCAAGTTGTTGAACCACATCAGACACCAAGAGCTCTGGCTGCTTTCCAGAGCAGAGGACATGCCGCTACGTGCTAGCTTCCCACTGTAGCACACACCAATGATCCACGGAGAGCCGTCCAGCTCCACCTCCCAGCAGTGATCACCTTCAGAGAAGCTCTGGGTGCTGAAGACCTGGAAGAAGCTTGTGAACCTCTGTGGAGAGGACGGGTAGGACTGTTTGGTAGCACTGAAAGTCACCGTCTTCAAGTCTTCTGAGAGAACAAGGTTGGGATGGGCTGTTTCTGGATCAAAGGTCACCTCTGAAGGGTTGAGGGTGTTCCGAAGCGAGCGCTGAATTTCTCCAAGTCTTTCTCTCAACTCAGCATTCATGTTTTCCAGCTTGGCACAAATTTGTGCAGGGCTAACTTTTGATTCAACATGGTCTTCTTCTTCTCCCACTGCTTTTGCCATTAACTCAACAATGAATGGTTGTAGGTTCTGAATCTCGTCACTAAATACCATCTCATCTTCTTCAGTCAACAGGGACTTGGCTCTGAGCATAGCCTGCCTCATCTGATTAGTCAGTTCAGAAGCTTGACTGACTCGAGTACATATGCTGGCCTCTCCCGGACCTAACTCTTCTTCAATCATCTGAGTCACCATTACGCTGTAGCTCCGTGACAAGTCCTTTATCTGCTCTAACAGTTTTGATGTTTTATCCCTCAGCTGAGCATTAGCAGTGGTCACTTCCAGCTCTCGCTCCTTCTCTTTCTTCAGAACACATTCTGCCATCTCCAACTTCAGCGTCAGCTCTGTGACTTGAGCTGCCAGTCTGAGTTTAGGTTCATTCATTTCCATTTTGACTCTGCCACTACTTTGGTCTTGATCCAAAGAAACAGGGCGGTCTGTGGATCCAGGCACAATTTGACAACCATCCTCCCCCTGGCTCCCTCCAGCTGATGCGAAGTCCTTGTGGTATTCTGTGTTTGATTCATCTGTGACAGAGGTATCACAATTCTTGTCTGTTATATGGCTGACATCAAAAGGGTTTGCGGTGGAGTTGATCTTCCCAGCAGTGGCTTTGTAGGTTTCCACCACGTTACACATTTTGAAGCTTTTCATGAGGGCATCTGTCCCCTGATATGCTGCATGGCATTCAGGGCAGCTGTGCTGGTCAAGGCCTTTCCCCATGGTCTGAAGGCAGGCAAAGCAGTAGACGTGACGACAGGGAAGAGAAACTGGCTCAGAGAAGAGATGCAAGCAGATGGGGCAAGTAAGATCAGAAAGCGAAGTCTGTGGATGATTCTTCTTAGACAGGTTTGCTTCAGTCTCATGCACAGACATGATGCCAGATGCTGGAAATACAGACAACTTAGGGTAAGACTTCAGGAATATGTAGCACAAATTTCACTAAAATACTGTATTTGTTTTTGTTTAAACTGTGAACCCAAGGTAATAAATATGAACTGTGAATTGCAGATCATTTTGTTGAGCAAATGGACTTTAAAAAATGATCAAAAGTAAATAATCTCAGGGGGCATAGCTAGGATATTAGAAAAGCTCAGCTAATTAAGTTCCCAAAACTGCCATGTGTTTTTTTTTATTGATTGAAGCTACAGTATGTAACTTTTGGTTCCAAAAATTTTAGTTGTAGAAACATGCTCCAAAACGTGTCCTAATGTGGAGAGGTGCTGTGGAGGCCTCCTGTGACCCAGACTCACTGAACAGCACTGGCAGCAGTTCAGAGATATTAGCTTCTAAAAGGGTTTGAGTGGGACTTGAGTGGGATTTTCAGTTATCGCTGCTTGATCAGTAAATATTTTTGCATTCTCATTTACTGTAATTTCATAATGACAAATATCTGAAGAGCATAGTAGAGCAGGGAGAGGGAGTGCTGGACAGAGCGTGGGTCGATTTGGAGCATCATGCTAATATTACAGCACCTTAATTTACAGCTTTAACATAAACATTGTGCATTTCTAGAAGAAATGATGGTTGTCCCAGGTAGAGGAATGTTACTTTTCTGTTACGTAGATCCTCATTTAAATTCATCTATGAATAACAGCCTCTGGGGACACAAAGCGACATTTCCAGGTTAATGGTAAATGCCAGAACATGTGTTAAGTAATGTGTTAAAACAAGTAGATGGTAGTTATGAAGTCAGGAAGCTAATGTCCGCGATACTGCAAGATGCTAAGGTCGTTGCGACAACAGACTAAATAAGGCTATAAGGCTAGCGTGCACTGACTTGAGCAAGAGTGTGTTTTATTGTTGAAAGATGTGGTCAAGATTTGTAATACAAAGAATGTGTTAGTTATCCTTTTATAAGTTGTACTGTGCCACTTTATGACCAGGTAAGGCATGAACAGCTCATACACCTTTAAGTAGACTAGGTTCAAGTATCCCAACCAACCAACCAACCAACCAACCAACCAAC